TATGTAATCTGCACTAAAGCTGGTCAAAAAAAAAAAAGAAGTGTACATTTCATCTAAGTAATTCTACGCATTTTTGAAATCTTAAACAGGGTCTGTAATTCGTGAATTTCGAAACTTCAAGAAACGACGTTACTCCCCCCACTGATCCAACGTTAATAATAATAATTTGAAAAGTTTACGATTAACACGTTGCCAGTGAACAAAGTAAGACGAATAAAGGGAAACTAGAACTTTCCAATAAATGAATGATAAGTTAATTTACATGATCATTTGTAACAGAAAATGTGCTTTCACAGTACACTGGGGTATGTTTGTACGTGTTAGAGGAGCACGAAAGTCTTGTAACTGCCTGCGCTTTTTCACAAGACACTTCATTCTTTATTACAGGTTTCGATCAATTAACATATATTTAATGCATATTCTTCTTTCATTTACTTTCAGTACAATTATTTATTAACAACTATTTCCGATCATAGGTGCTCTTGACAAAACTGTTTTAATTTGGAAGATACCTCAGCAACTGATTTCGCAAAATATACTGATGAATAACCTAAAGAATAACAGGAAAAAGGTATCTGTAATTAAAACCACGGATTTTTTTACGCATTTGTAGAAAATTTAAAAGTACGAAACTGTGATATGAAAAAAAATATATAAAATGTTCAGAATATAGTGCTTAGTAAAACAATTCTCTAGAAACGTTTTCTATTTTTCAATTCCATTTTAAAAAGTGTGAATTTGCAGTAGACATATTTAATACCTCAAGTCATAATAAAGAAATCAGCCAGTTATTAATACACTCGATTTTTAATATGAAAGGTTTCGGACTGGAAGATCGATGATACGTTGAAATGGTTGGACGAAATTGGCTTGTCGCTGTTAATTAAGAAAGCTAACGCGATTTCTTTAACTGGACGACACTTACTTTCTCTGTCGGAGGACGAATTAGCTAATAGATTGGATATAGAACAGGATGAGGAGGTACGTCAGAAAATCTCACGAATAATCGAAATTATTTTTCAACTAACTCATTTTTTGTTTTATTTCAATTGCCTCGTAATGTAAAATTTCTTTGGAGTTTGCAACGAATAGAAGTCTTAATATCTGACAACCAGTAGCGTATATCTACTTTGTATATCACAGATTGAGACAAATTTAGATTGACTTTCGTTTAAAATATGCTAAAGGATAACTTTATTATCATTAAGGATAACTAATCAAAAAAAGTCGATATGCATCCCCATTTAAAGATCTTAGAAAAAGAATCTGTAGGATTACATTAATGTAGGAATAATTGCAAAATGTACATGTAATCAAAGGATTCATTATCTGCAATACATAACTATTGCAAATGAAGAACAAGAAGTGAGATTTTTGTTAACTCTTAAGAAATGTTGAGCAGAAATGTGTACGCCTATTAAATTTCAGTATTTCAAAAAACAGAAGGAACGAAGAGTTTTATGAATCACAATCGATTTGCCAAGAAAATTCTAAAATATTGACAATGTTTCTCACATTTCTTTAAAAGAATAAATATAAGAAATATAAAAAAATCTGTGTACCTTTAACTAATAAATAAATGCTTAAAATTCTTGCTTCTCCTTTAATATTTGGCTTGAAGTACGACAGTAAAGTTCTCACGATTGCGCGTATTGTGTTAAAAAATTTTTAACCCCCTCTGTAATTATTATCGCTTATTTTAACCGCACGATCAATTTTTAGACAGCGGAAGCGTTTAAAACACAGCTGTACTGGTTAAAACGTGAGGACAGTAACTCTACAGAGATCTCTATAGACGATACTGAAATACCTCACGAATATTTATGCCCTATCACGCATGAAATAATGAAAGAACCCGTCCAATGTACTGGTAAGCAGTATAAATGAAAAATCGTAATTGAAAAATATTCGACACTTTAATGAATATTTCATTCGCAGATGGATTTACATACGAGAAAGCTGCTATAAACGAATGGTTCTTATGTGGAAAATATACAAGTCCAATGACGAATAAACCACTTCAGAATACTTCGTTCACTCCGAACGTTACACTCAGGAACACGATATACACTTTCCTTCATGGAAACCGACCACAGGCTTAATCCTTTATAGGACAGTATAGTGAATGAAGCAATCGAAAGAAAATCGAAATATCTTCAAATTCCTTCGATTTCTGATGCAATGATTTTTCAAAAATTTTTTTCACACTTTCTTGATTGCCTAACGTGTTGAGCATGGTAAGTACACTTATCAGAAATCGTTTATTGAATTTCAATGGTCTCTGGTAAGAACATAGGTAAAATTAATGAAAATCATTACGAAGTTTCTATCTTTATTGTTGTCGAAAAAAGTCAATCTGAACAAAATTACAAATATGAGAGGTTTCGTACTACTTTACGAACAATAATAAGAATATTGGTAACTAAATTAAGCATTAAATTTTTAGACTAGAGGATATTAAGCTGTATGTATGTTTTTATATGTAACATGGACCAATGCAATGGTTAAATATGATTTTTTTAATTTAACTCTATCTATAGTTAGAAAATACCCTTTTCTAATATTTCCTGATGCATAGTGGGATATTTTTTGAAAAATTAAAATTACTATGTTATGATGCACTCAGTTTGTATAGTTAGAAACTCTCTCAACAGATGTTATCGATCTATTTTTTTTAGTTTTAATCATCTTGTATTATTTCACATGTTTAACCTGTTAGCCAAGAACGACGAATTAACTCGTCACTGGGATTTCAATTTTTCGAATATAATAATTTATTTATTAACCTATGATTTTTGAAGATGTTTGTATAATTTCCATTAAAAACAAATTATATTCTAATTTACAAAAAATTAAGATTTATCAGATTAGAATCAATTTCTCTTTATGAATTATTAATTCTACAATTATAAAAATCTTTAAATGTTTCTAAATAACCGAGACAATTCTATTTTTATATATAATTTATCAAGATAGAATTTCTGTGCGGCTCAAGACACATTTATAATTTATACCATAAAGAGTTAAGTTACGATATAAAATATAATAACGATACTTCAAAGAAATTTTTTCTTCTTTTTCCTTTTACCTACGTAATTTTGTAATACCTGACACTTGACTTTTTCTTGCACTTGAGTTTAAGAAAGAGAATTCTATGCACTTCGTTGAACATGTAAGTACGTGAAACAATAATATAAAAGGAACAAATTATAAATACGCACAAAGTGAAGTTGTTACTATCAATCTTAATCAACAAAATCAATTACATTTGTGAGAATTTTGTAAACGTCTGTTAATAAATATATTAATTGTATATATATATTTACTTCGAATATAATTTCCCAAGCCTAAGATTATTTACCGTAAGAGTTTAAATATTTTCATGAGCCAGTTTATATGTTTATCGATTTTTGTTAAATTAAATACAAAATTTTCTAACTAACAAAGCTGTGATTACGAACTATCTAACATTTTATCTACTTTACGACTTTATCTAAAATTAATCTTATATCTACTTTACATTGCTTTGTCTACTTAAATTCTACGTTTAATTAAGCATGCTATAATACATTATTTTAAGCACAAATAAATACCTAAATATCTTCCTGCAATATTAACTAATTTATTAACCAAAATACTTATGTTAGTTTGAAAATTTTTACTCATAAGCTTAACTATTATACATTTTATTCAGCTGTAAATCTAACTTCAAAAAGTTTTATTTAATTCAAAATCTAATTTAAGCTCTGTACTAAAAATTTAAAAATTTATCTGAAATAATGCGTGTCTCCATTCTTTAATGATTCCTGGAACAAATAAATCCAAATATTAATTAAACGAAATTGAAACTTTCTTTACATCAAGGATTTAGGTACCTTCTATTATTTCAATAACATTGATTCTAAAATTTTACTATTCACATTATAATATCTGTTTTTCAATAAAATTTAAAATTGTATATGGAATCATTCCAAAATCATAATAATTGTAAATATTATGAAAACAAGGGAATTAGATAGAAACAAATATATTTTTAGTAGTAATAGCAACGAAAGAAAAGAAGAAAGTAAATGAATAGAAGGTATTAAGCTATACTAAAATATAATCATTATCCATTCAATATGAAACCCGAACAATAAACCGAGAGTGCAATATCTTTTCTTTTTCGCAACACTAATTTACTGAAATTAGATATATAAAATAGAAATATTTTATAATATAGAAAATTTTCAAAGCAAAGTACCAAAAATGCTTTACATTGCAACTTACTGTTGGTAAACAGAAATTCCTGAAATTATAATACAATTTTTATTTACACAATGCAAACAGATACTGATCTGTGCACTCATATTTAAATTAATATTAATGACGAAAATTCAATGTGAACGTAGCTCTATACAGCTTTTTTAACTGCATCAGATGATGAAAGTTTGGGCATTTCATAAGTGCAACACTACTTAAAGAAACGCGATCACTTATCAATGTGACACGAATTAAAAAAAAGTAATTTAGATAACCACGATAGAAAAATATCGCAACACTAGCTTTTAAAATAAATTTAATAAAAATTATTATGTCTGTCCAAAAAGAAACTATTTCAATTATTCACGATGGTCATAAATAGCAAGGCTGTGAAGTTAATTAAAAAATCAATATCTTTTAAATTCTAAAGCAAACGCATCGTAATTTTTCGAAATGCTAAATGAAAAACCGCGATTTGCCCAATATAGTGGTGGATTGACATGATACATTGGCAAAAAAAAAAAAAAAAAAAATGACTACTGCTACATATTGGAAATATTAAAAGCGAGCATAGTGACAAAGTAGTAACAAAAATGATTTGCTATGTTCTGAATGGATTTCCACCATTAGAACATAGGTAACCATTAGTAGTTGCCCTCTTCTATGGCAGTTTGCCGGGCCTCTTCGGCTTATAGCCTCTTCTTTCTTCGAGCGCAATGCTCGCTGAAACTTACGCCTAGCTCGAGTCTTTCTAATCGCAAACTAAAAAATAACTTCTAAAGGTGAAATAAAAAGATAAATCGCGGAGACTGATCCCAACACACATGGACGATCATCGATCATAATGATCGTTATGATAATGATCGTTCGCATGTGCATGCTCGAGCAATCCTACGTAAACGTTCGTTTCGGGACCTACTCGCGACCTATCCGCGACCGCGACCGCGACACTAAATTCGAAAAATCGTAGAGTA